TTGTGACTTGTGATGGCAGATTAGAAGAGAGTGCTTACACAAGTATCAAAGCCAAAAGAGCGCGAGAGATCCGCCCCAAAAGCCACCTGAAACATGGAACAACGTTGGTATTGTTTCTCCAACTCCGTGAAGCAACAACCTCGATGAGTCGTGAGCAACGATCAGCAAGCTCATGAATTTCCTTGAATGACTCAGGTGCCACCGGACTTTCTAGTTCCCAAGGCCCAACTCCAAGTTGTGTTGTTTCGCCCATAGATTTACATAACTCAGTGTCAGGTTCTTCTTGGTGGAAACAAAATGAAGCAAACACCTGCCATCACCTGCCTATATATAATGTGTCATCCCTCTTGACTCTTGAGACGCCGGTTTCAATGCAGGATCCAGAGGCCCAGACTGAGACAGCCATCGAGGACCTTCGGTGGTCGCCATGGCATCACTTCCTTTCTACAGCCCTGCAAACATCGCTTGCCGCAGCAAGCTTCATGTTTAAACATGTATGTTACATACTCCTTGTTTTCCAGCTCCCAAAAATGCTCAGTTTGCAAGCAGCTCGTGCCATATCCATTGATGTGCAATAGGTAACATCTTTGCTCTGCAGGATTCTGACCTAAAAGGTCAAGCTTGTGTCGTGATTGCTTCTCATGTGCACGAGCCAGACACTGCCGAGTGGTTGCGCACTTTAGAGCTTTGGGGATTGCTTCTCTCCTTAGTGAGTTTTTCCTGCCATACGATGTACCATAGGTGCGCGTACAGTAGTCTAGCACAAGCACCAAAGTGAAAGCAAGCTAAAGCACAACTGGTTCATTTCCACTTTCATAAGTCTCATTGTCTGCTCTCATCACTGCAGCATCGTACACAAAGGGATTTTGGCCTGCAGACAGACTCCTGGTACTAAAGAGTTAATTTGAAGTGGATATTGGATATTGCGTGATAGGCTTCTTGTTCATTCTGCAGTTTTCCTGGTATTCTGTGATCTCTTTTTTGAAGGACATAGTTGCTGGGCCTTTTCCCGAAGCATCAGCAGCCAGTCAAGTGACTTGGAGGTTTATTTTTGGAGTCTTTCAGAAGCGTAGCAGAAGATGCCCACTTGCCAGAACTGCAGCCTTGCCAATGTGAAAGGCCAAATTGAAGACTGAATTGCTGAGGCTAGTCTGCAAGGCTTTATTGCGAAGCTATTTGCAGAGGAGCAGCCTTTACAGGTCCAAAGCTGACTGATTGACAACTTAGTAACAAGAGCATCGCTACTAGTATCAGAAGCTACTAGCATTACTAGGAAAAATAAGTTTTTTGTGTAGTTTAGTACCGTATGTGTTTGAAGCTTTTTCTAGTAACTACAAGCTTCCTTGGAATCCTCAAACCCCTAAGCACTGAGGTGTCATTATATACTGGCTTGGGTGACAAGAAGTTGCAGCTCCCATTGGAGGCACAGCACAGGGTTGCATCGCCTTTTGACAGCAGGTGATTGAACTTATATATATATATATATGTGTGTGTGTATATCACCTCGCTGGTGTGAGCGCACGTACGAACGAGCGAACGCACGCGCAGCTGTTTACGCTCACAAGGACGAGCGGACGCGTCGGCGGGTGAGACAGCACGCTACGCCTAGCTACGTGCCACTTGAGCCAAAAGTATTGGCTTGAGCCAAAGACGGGGTGAAACTATGTACACCTACGCAGCTCCTACAGTTACACATGCAAGTGAAACAGCAAGAACATGAAACATGGCACGGCTAGCAGACATCACAGTCGCCCCTCAGATGCTTTTGCGCAACGAGTGACGGCATCTCTCTATACCTCGTCTGCCTTTGCCTTGCCGCACGGTGCCGCGAAGCGTGGGCACCGCCGCGGTCGGCGGATCAACCTTCCGCCGATTCACCCTGGCTCTGTTTGCCCGTCAAGCGCCTCCGCGACGGCTTCGTCTCCTTCTCTGGCCGGTCCTCACCTCCAAAGAGCTCGGAGACGCCCCAGAGCCGCTCGAAGTGGTCTACGTAAGTCTGGAAGACATCATCCTCCCAAGACCCACTGACCAACAACCCGAGCTCCACATTCGCTCTGCTACTCGTGGTGTAGTTCGAGCTTCCCACCACCAGGAAGCTGGGTGCTCCTTCTGCGCCCCTCAGACAGAAGGTCTTCGAGTGCTGTCTTACCAACGGACGTGCCACGGCGGTCCCCTGCGTAAGCCTCTGCGATCGAAGATCCTGCGGTCAACCGCACTCGGATCCCGGCCCGGGCGACCTACAACAGAGATTGCTTCTGAGGCTTAGTCCGCTCCCCCGTGCTCTGGCCTCTATCAGCAAGGAGTCTCGTAACTCCAGGGCGCCTGATGAGGTCGAACGTGTATACAGTCATCATCACTTCTCCAGCGCCGGCCAAGATGTTCAAGATCCGATCTTGGCTCACTGTGTTCACGAGTAGCTCAACATGAGTCCGAAGGGATGGCTCCGGAAGCAGCTCCGGAGTGGAGGCTTTGCTGTCCTCCAAGGCCAGCGGCTCTGGCCGATCCCCTCGACCCTTCTCCTTGGGCGGCGCTTCGCGCAGCGGACTGGCCTGGCGATGTAAGAACGGCTCTTTCTCCGCGCTGGTCCGCGAAGACGCGGGACCAGCCGAGACGGTCGCGCGTCTCTCTGGAGCCCACGCGCCTTACCCCAACTAGATTCGAGAAGGCCAGCTGGCTGTCCTAAAGCTGCCTTCCCGCGCGCACTGGCCACCGAAGGCCTCTCTACCTTTGGAGGTTCCGCCGGCTCAGCCGGAAGTGCCAGCCGCTACAGCTGCTCTTTAGCTGCCTTGATGTGAGGGCAAAAACCTTCCTCCACATACTGCCGGCAAGCGCAGCTCGCATGCCCTTTCGATGTCCAGATTTCGTGACAGACGCAGCACTTTGTGAACCTCGAGCTGCAGAATTCGTGGCAGCACTTGGTGAACCTCGAAGTGCAGATTTCGTGGCAGGTGTAGCACTTTGAGACCCTCGACGCGCAGAGTTCGTGAGTTCGTGACAGGCGCAGCACTCTGTGAATTTGCTCACTTGATGCGTGCTCTGGTGACTGTGCTCTCAGATGTGTGCTCTCTGGATCTCTGTCTGGTGATTCACACTCCTAGACATCTCGACCTCTGTTTATTGCGTGGTTCCACCCAGGCGCGCTCGGCACTGTGGGCAACTCACTCACTCATTCACTCATTCACTACCTTGGTGTGCTCTGGGATGTGCGCTCTCCTTGGTCTTCTGCTCTCTCATTCGCACTCATCACGCCCACACTCACTCTCATTCACAAAGCATTCTTCCTTTCACCCGTGCTCGCATTCACTGTCACACTCTCACTCATTCTCACTCGCTCATTGATTTGCTCACTTGCTGCGTGCTCTGGTGACTGTGTTCTCAGATCACATGGCTTCTCATTCTCACTCACGCTCATATTCACTCACTCACTCAATCACGTGCTGCGTGGTCTGGTGACTGTGCTCTCAGATGTGCGCTCTTTAGATTTCTGTAGACCTCCGAAACTCTAGTTTGTTCTCATGTGTGTGCTCTTCTTTAGACTGTTGTTTCTAGAGCTATTCTTGTATCCAGCGCACCTGCTGTGGTTCCACCCAGGTACTTTTGGCATAGCTGCTAGTTGTCTATGTTCTTTTCGTTGCAGGTGCACCTGGCGTGGTTCACATTTCAGCCTTGCGCTTTTATTTTCTGTTTCTGGACATTTCATTTGGACATTTCTGCCTTCTACTCGAATTCAAGCCTCACCTTCTAGTTCGTGCTCGCGGGTGCTACTTTCCCTACTTCCATCCACTTTACTTTCTCCTCCTTCGTGTTCGCGGGTGCTTCAGCTCCTCCTGCTACCACTTCCTCCTCAAAAGTGCGTATGATACACACTCCATACTGTTTGGGGTCTCTTGCCGGGATAATCTGCATGTTGCTTGGCGTTGCGTTCACAGTGCCAGGCGTCCAGCTTTTTATGCCTTGGCGCTGAAGAGGCGCGTTTGGACAAGCAGCGGCTCAAAAGGCAGCAGCTGCAGGTTGCCCAAGTCTTAGCATATTTGTGGAACTGTCAACCATATGCTATGTTGTATATAAATACTGTAGTAAAACTGAAAGTCCTGGAAATTTGGGTCGAGAAACGTTGGAGTTCTGCCATATGTCATCAATCCGATGTGCAAGCACTTGTTTAGTCTTGAGGTTGGTCAAGCTGTTGAATTCCGTGCAGACGCGGAGGTTCTGAGAGTCAAAGGAAAACAAAGCGTTGTAAAAGGAGGCAATGACAACAGAATCAAGTGGAGATATAAATTAAATTAAGGTTTGTTGTTTAGAAGAACTCCGCGAGACTTTGTCGGATCGAAGGAATCAAACAACTTGCTGTAAACATGCGCTGCTTATTTTCTTTGCGAGGCTGGAGCCTTGCGGCTCATGGTCCTCGTGAATGTCGCATCAGAGTTTGTTTACACCTGAGTCTTTCAGACCCTTTTTGCGAAAGTTGAAGTGTTGTCATGGTATTCCTCCAGGTATTGAGGCAAGTCACAGAGCCAGCGAAAAATACAGTGAGAACCACGCACATGTTTTGTTTTGATGAAATACTCAACAGCACGCAAGAATAGTAGAGCAAAGCCAGGAAACAACCCACTTTGAACTCCACAAGCTCCAAAGAGACAGTTGTTTAACAGCATCTCTAGCTTCGTCTTTGCCTTGCAAGGACTGGGACGCGGCAAAGTGGAAGCTTGTACATTGCGAGTCATGAGCCTTTGAATAAGCCGGTGCCTTAGATGGACGGCCACACCCTGCCTTCAGCATCAGTCGCAGTTTGGTGGATGGAGTGCCCAGGCAACGCCTTTATTGAGCCAAACTGCAGCTCATACTGGCTGTCTCACATTCGTTTCACTTTGGAGCTCTGATTTGGAGAAAGGTACTCAAAATGTCTTTGCACCGTGACGTATTTGTATGCACTCGTGACAAAGCTATGAATCTCAGCATCAAATCACATCTGTGATTTGGAATCTCATTTTGACGAGCAGGTTGAGAAGAAGGATGAGCCAAAAGCTCGTACGTCAGGAGCTGAGATAGAGAGAGAGAGAGAGACACCGTACTGCCGTACTGTAGAGCTGGCAGCTGTGTTGAATGCTCGCTCCTTGAGGTGGGACCCTGCAACGGGTCAATTTGTCGAAGAAGACTTGCCTGCGGAGGTCTCTTCCTTCAGATTTCCCCCTTTGTCTTCCAAAGAGGTCTCAAGACTTCGACATGATTTTGTTTGCCAAGTTTCATCAAGTTTCCAACTTTAAACTGGATGCTGATTGATGCTGATTGCAAGTTTGATGCCTGAGAGTTTGCCGCAATGGTTGTTTGACAGCTTCTGCCTTTGAGTGCCGAGGTCCAGGAAATGATGCGCGCCTCCAAGCGACCAAAGGTGGCTTGCTTGGACCCGGCAAGAAATTCCCACTTTTAATTTGACAATGTTTTTCCCGCCCACCAGATTTTGCAAGCCTTTGTGATTTGCTTGTCTTTGGTGAAACTCATCACTTTCAGTCACTTCATTGAGAATCCTGATTCTGTCTGCATTTGGTTCCTCCGAGGTGCAAGAGGCACCGCTCCGACCAGAGCCAGCACGGCCACAACGGCCGCCAGCTCCGCCCCCTGCACCGCCGCCAGTGCCTTTTGTAGCGAAGCCGGTGCCAGCAAGAGGCCCCAGTGAACTTGGGCATGAAGCATTGAGTTCCTTGAATCCTGCCTCAGTCTCGAATGAGGCATTGTTTGAACAGGTCGGGTGGAACATCTAGAATGTCTAATCTAGTGAGTTATGGTTCATTTGCTCTTACTTGCATCGTCGATCGTTTCAAAGCGGTTCAATCATTTCGGTATCAAGAATCTAATAGATATATATATATATATATGTATTCTGTTGAAAGTGCAGTGCATTTATTTGTTTTGGTCAAAGTTTCCTCTTTAATCGAGGCCCATGCAGCAAATCTTGGCCCAAAGAGGCTGAGTGTTGTATTCAGGGGCTTTACCAAGCAGGACGCTGTATGACTGTCGATTTCGTAGTGTTGACTCACATCGACATGAGTCAATGTCAATGTAGTGGCTACACGACCAAACTCAAAAATCTCAATGAAGAAGGCCGATGGTGTTGGAATTCCGGTAGCCAGGAACTAAACGCTCAATATGTGGAGAAGCCTGACCGACCCATCCAGGGCAGGGCTCAGAGCTAAGGCGCAACGCACTCTGCAAATGCTCAAGCAAAAAATGCGGTCTTGTATGATACTGGTACCAGGAAGCGGCGTTGCTGAGGTCAGCTTCTGGAATCCTACACAGACGTATTTTATTTATTGGCAGCGCTCTATGGAAAGGTCAGAAGTGCTTTGGTGCGATTGGCTTGTGACGAGAGTCACCAAATGTCAACTCACCTGCAGATGTGCGATTTGCGACAGCGGAAGCTATCAACCAGCCAAAGATGGCTCCGTTCCAGGCCAGAATGGTTGTATGATGTTGTATGTTCATTGCTCCAGCGCATCCCCTCCAGACGAACAGACTGGTAGGATGGGCGTACAGAAAAGATTCGCAGCACTTCGCGAAAGCAAGCGACGGCTGGATGGAGGCGCCGACACGCGCTTGGAAAAAAAAACAGCAGAATCAAGGTGCTATGCACTGTACAATATACTGCGTAATTATTGCTGAGGACATTGATTGACCTAGAACAAACTGAAGAGACAGTCACTTCGTTCTTCTGTGTTTTGCAGAGGAGAGCTACAAAAAGAGCTTGCTGGTGAATCTGGTTATATAATCATATTTGTCGACATATTTTCGGAGAAGCTCATGCCAGGTCTGGGGCAATGCCTGGAAACCCGCTCAGGTGGTTTGCACAGCCTTGGACCTGGTATTTCAAGCCTTTGTTCTACCACGACCGGCTTTGTCATGTTGAGGTTTTATACAACCAAATGTCAGTATTTGTTTCTATGTCACTGGACCTGCTCCATACATGTGTATACAATATGGGAAGCAAAGGCGCAAGAACACCGCAAGGCAGATGTTTTGCTTATGTATGTATGAGCGGGATGCTTGATTTAGCACGGGATCACCAGGATTCGACAGTGAACGCTGTTCACTCCCATTGTGTCCAAACTTGGCAAGTTGGAAACGAAGGCATTTGGATATGTTTGGATCATTTGGTCCACGTGCTGATGCACCGGCAGACCCCCATTCCGTCGATCAACGCCACATTGGATTCGGCACCAGATCACCGTCTGAAGCTTTCTGGCAGGTGCCGGTCAGGTGTTGAGATCTGGTCCTTTAGCATTTAGCATAAGCTGCAGCAAGTTCTCAGCATGTTTAACTTCTCCAGGATGTGGTTGAGCCCTAAAGTATTGGCCAAGCCCGTCACCGCTCCATCCATGGAGTAGCTCTTGGAGGGTGATCTCATGAGGATACTCTGCCGAAAAACGGCACATGCACCGGCATCTGTACATGGTCTTTGTGTATCGCAGCATACCTGTAGGTAAATGCCCTGGATTGTGGGAGCAGCCAAAGACTGTTGACGAAGTGGCTGGCATCTCCCTGCAGATTCAGGTCGTGGTGCTTCCATAGATCATGAAGGCCAGTGAGTTGTTGGAGGTTCACTGGGCCAATGCTCTCCACGCTCTCCGAAGTGGTCGCAGATGTGCTCTGTCCCATAAGAAGAGATGTGTCCAGTCCTTCACACGCTTCAAAATTCAAAATCATCGTCCGGCGCTGCGCTCGTTACCCACAATGTCCGTGGCTGGCCTGGTCCGGTGCACCACCTGTTTTGCGTCGCTTGGCTGCTTCTGCAGCATCTCCATTGGGCCTTTTGAGGAGCCCTTGAAGCTGCTGTTTCTGCTCAGGTGTCAGAGCAATCCCTAAGTTGGTAACAAAAGATTCCACTGCCTCTGGCAGGATGTCAAGGTCCATTTCTGCAGCTGCATCCGTCTCGAATGGCTTGGGGATTTCATTGGATACCAACTGCAGGTACTCTTCCGCTGCCTGCTTGAGTGCAGTGTTGCCGTCTTGGATCTTGGCCTGCAGCTCCTGCGTGTCATTCAGCAGAGTTTGATACTGCTGTTTGACAGTGTTGAGTCTGGTCTAGAGCTGGTTCTTCTTGAGGGTGAGGCTTTTGAGCTCTGTGACTTCTTGTTTGAGCTTTCCGGCCATATGCTGTTCGGTCGGTGGCGACTTGAAGACGTCTGTCAGCTCCGGCTCAGGCTCTTGGCGGGTCCAATGCCCCAGTTCGAGGGAGGACCAATTGGCTGCGACGTCCTTCTGAATTTTGGTTTTCTTCAACGGTCTCCACGTCGACGGTAGTCCGCGGGGGTTCGACCAAGGCGGATTTGCGCCCTGGATTCTTGGGCAAGTGTGGCAAAGCTTTGCCTTTGCCGGCCGCCTTGGATGGCCGCCTGGCCGCACTTGCGGCATCTGAAGCCGGTCTGAACTCTATCAGCCCAGATCCAATGTAGGATCGTCCCAGTACCCTGACATGTGCAGGATGAGTGAGTCCTCAAGGGTCTGCTGCTTGGAGCAAAGGATGATGGCAACCTTCACCTCGTGCTTTTGGAACAGGCCTGCGGAAAATGCAGTGATGGAGTACCAGGATGGTTCACAGGATCCCGCTGGTTGAGGTGCCGAGGTGGTAGTTCTCGAAAAAGGGATCACCTGGAAGGCGCCTTCTCTATCCCGGGCAAAGACCAATGCCGCCAAGGGAAACAACGAAAATGCGTCACCCTCGAGGTCCACACGTGATATGCGTGTAGCGAGTTGGGGTGCCACAGTAGGTCGATTTGAGGGGCACGACCTTGAACAGCTAATGGCCTTGAGCCATAATAACAATTTTAACGAAAGAAACAAACAAAGAAAGAAAGTAAGTGAGTGAGAAAGTACGTACGAAGTAAGTAAGTAAGTAAGTAAGTAAGTAAGTAAATAAGTCAGTGAGTAAGTAAGTAAGTAAGTAAGTAAGTAAGTAAGTAAATAAGTCAGTGAGTAAGTAAGTAAGTAAGTAAGTCAGTGAGTAAGTAAGTAAGTAAGTAAGTAAGTAGGATTAAGTGCGTAAGTACGCAAGCAGCAAGTAGGTAAGGAAGTACGTAAGTACGTGCGTAAGCAAGTATGTAGGTAAGGAAGTACGTAA